GGAAGAAGGAAACAGGTATTATATATTATATATTATATATATTATATAAAAATAATTTAAATATATTTATTGTTACAAAAATTATTACACTTTTATATTTTGAAGCATAAATAAAATTTTAATGAAAAAACTGAGAATAATTAATTATAAAAATATTTTAAAATGTTTAGAATTTTGGTCCAAAATGCAATTTCAAAAAGAGAAAACTTCAGTTGGGTTCTTTCGATGGTTTTCCAAAATCTACTCAATTTGTGCAACAAAAATTTTCTGAAATTCCTATACTTAATAATTTCCAAACAGTAGAACAATGTACTTTAGAATATGACCCAATACGAGGAGCTTCAATAGATCCACATATTGATGATTGTTGGATTTGGGGTGAAAGAATAGTTACTGTTAATGTCATGGGTGATTCAGTTTTAACAATGAGTTCTTATCATGGTCCCGATACAAAGTACAATTTAAAAAGTATTATAGAATATTCCTCAACAATTGAAGGCTTAAAATTTGATATAAAAAATAAAAATGAAAATGAAGATATCATTGTAAGACTCCCAATGCCAGAAGGATCTCTTATGGTTCTTTATGGTATTGCAAGGTAAATAAATTTCTTTAAAATGATATTCAAATATATGTATTTATATTGTAATAGTTTGTAATTTGAGATGTTTATTTATATCATTATATGAAATAATTATTTTGATTATAAAATCGATTAATTTATTCTTTTATTTTGTAGGTACAAATGGGAACATTGTGTTTTAAGAGAAGATATAAACTCTAGGCGAATTTGTTTAGCTTATCGCGAATTAACTCCTCCATATTTATTTAATTCAACAAATAATGAAGTTGTTAAAGAACTCTTAAAGAGAGCTTCAGTTTTTTAATAAAATGTAATTATATCTAAAAAAAATTTATTCCAATAAAACATATATTTAATTTGTACAAAATATTTAAATACACATTATATATTACGTATTATAGAAATATATTAATTTTATATATACATATGTAATATATATTATATATTACCTACATTTATATTTTTATATAAACAATACAAATTTCTATAATATTTAAGAAAATATTAAATTTGAAATAATATATAGAAATTAATTTTAATTAAAAAAAAAAAAACGTAAAGGGAAGGAAAACAATTTTTGTACAAAATAAAAATATCGATTTTTAAAGATTTTTAAGAAATTATAAAGTATTACTTTAAATAAGATTATTTCGTTAAGAATTAATAAAATTAAAAAATCCTACAAATTCTTCAAAGAATCAGAAGACATATAAACAACGGGAAACGTAGTGAAAGGATCTGATTTTCCTAATGGTTGGTAACCATTGACTAAACTTTCCCTTAATTCCCATTTACGTCTCTCCCTTTCTGTTTTTTGTCTTCTTATTGCTTTGCCTAACATACAGGCAAATATTATTCCCGTTAACTGAAAATAAATAGTTAAATTTATTAAAATATATATTAATATATTTTTCTTTTAAAGATAATATTAAATTTTATATAATACTTTTTTCCTTTACCAAATATTAATTATCAATATTTCTATAATTGAAAAAATATAATTGAAAAAATAATAGAAAAAAATATGATAAATACGAACCTGAATAAGTGCAATAGCTACAGCTCCAGTACCGATATAAAGTGCACTCCTATGAATAATGATTGAAAGATTTTTTATACATCCAGTTGTATAAAATTCGGAAACACATGAAATGCCTTTATCGTCGTAAATGCATGTATTGTTTTCTGATGGAAAATCTGATTGACAAGATACAGGAAATTTTTGTTCTTTCATAATTTCTTCCCAATCTTTATATCCATTGTATCCGCAACAATAAAGCTGTTAAATAATATATTTTATGAGATAGCATATATAATAAGTGTTATATATAATATATATTTAAACATATCATTTAAAAATATTAAATAATTCTGCTAAATGTTGGAATGATTAAAGAAATCTTTTCTATATTTAAAAATGTCTTTTTTAAAAATTCGTAGCTTAACAATGTATTAACATCGTAAAACAATAAATTTAGTTTCTATTTGAATAAAATGCAAGTAATATTTATTTAATATATATGTAAATGTAAATCTATGTGTATGTAAATGTGTATGTATTATAATCCATAAAATTTAATAAATTACTTTCGATTGTAGAAAATCGATAGCTTCCGTAGCTTCTTCATTCTTCCCATATTGATGCATAGTAACATTAATTTTCTCGGCAAGAAGATTCCTTATTCCATCTTGAAGAGCATAAGCTGCAATTGCAGCTGCCAATTCTAATACGAGAACTAACGAAAGTGATACTGCAAACTAGAAATATAATAATTTTGATTATTTGCCAAGCTACATATATATGTGTATAT